GGAGTGCCCAGGTTAAGAGTGTCTGATATAGGACAACTTGAACTTAAGAACAGACAGCCATAAAGGCTATTTACATTACAATTTTGAGTTAAAGGATTCATAGCAATGAATATCTGTATCCTACTTTGTGTCACTCATGAAAATACTAAATGGCTCCAGTGGTTGGGTGGCTTAAAGAATGATGATGTATGCCTTTTTAAGTTGATCACTTGTGTAAACCACTTTGTTAAATGCATTTGGCTTAAATTTTGTATTTGACTTAGATTTTCCTCCTATTTACCTTTGTAGTGGTGTCTCAAAAGTGTAAAGCTGATGCAAGTGTTAGCAATACATCCAAGAGAAGGAAAATGACCAGGAGTGAAAAGAAAGAACTAACGAGTGAAGACCTTATACACTAGAGCAGCAGATGACAGCATTAGAGAGAGAATACCTGGGCTGAAAAACTTTAGAATGGAAAAAGTGTTTCATGAGTTAGCTGAAGACATCCATCTTATTGAATGGTAAAGTCAGAGAAGATCCCATTACAGAGAGGCTTATGACAGTTTATGAGATAAGTTAATGAAAGACCTTAGCTGCTAAGAGGCTAAGATCAAGGCCATTTGTTGGTGTTGTGTGCCAGAGTCAGAACTGACTCATAGTTGACCCTCCAGTGGGTTTTCAGAGGCAGTAAATCATGTGGAAGGAGACTCATCTGGAGGAGCAGCTGGTGGATTCAAACCACATACCTTTGGGATTGCAGCAGTTTCTTGCTTTGTGCCATTGAGTTGGAATGGACTCAAAGGTGATCCTCCAGCAGTTTTCAGAGGCTATAAATATCATGAATGGAGATTGTCCATTTTTCTCTCTTGGAACAATAGCTACCGGATATGAACTACCTGCCTTTGTGTTGGCATTACAACTCTTTTCCAGCAATAGAGTCAGTCCCTGAGTTTTCAGTAAGAGGCTCATCTGCTCTGATACCTGGCCTATCATATTCTCAAGTATTAACTCAATTATTAATGCTACTTATATCAGAAATGTAAGGCAGCACTGGAATATTAGTGTTAACCTTTAATCATTATCTATTTTCCTCTCTAAACGGTTTTAAGAAAAGTTGGGAAAATTTCTTGTCAGGACCTCTTCACAGTACTGAAGAGCAGGGATGTCATTTTAGAGACCAAGGTGCACCTGATGCAGGCCATGGTCTTCACAATTACTTCTTATCCATCAGAGAGCTGAATAATGACCATGGGTGATAAAAGAATCGTAGATGCCTTTGTGCTGGAGAAGAGTCTTGAACATACCTTGGATTGCTAAAAGAACAAACTTGTTTGTCCTGAGGAGGGTGAAACACGATGCTCCTTGGAGGCAAAGATTTTGAAGCTCCATCTCACATACTTTGGGTGTGTTGCCCGGAGAGACCAGTCCTTGGAGAGGGACACCATGCTTTGGATGGTGGAGTTTGCATTTTTCTTTGGAAAATTTTTTTTTTGTTATAAAGAGTGAAATATCTGTCACAAAAAATACTGTATTTCACTCAGCATAATGTCCTCCATGATCATCCATTTTGTAGAATATTTCATGAGTTCTTTGTTTTTCAGTGCTGCATAATATTCCATTGTGTGACTATACCACAGCTTCTTTTTCATGAGGCCGTATTTGGGTATCACCCATTTAATCTATATTACACTGAAAATCTCTGTCAATAGGATAATGTGCTCCTACGGCAACAGTGAGCAGGAGGAATGAGTAACGAATGAACTACTTCATGCTTCCTATTGTGTTCATTGCAATTTCATGTCTGTAGATGTACAACTGCATGAGTGATTGGTTTCTACCCAGGAGCTGTCCATTCCTAAACTGGTTCCATATTTTGTAGACTGTACTCTGTTAATATCTAACTGATGAGGTACCTACACATGAACCCTGTGAAAACCATGTGTTTAATGCCTCAAGTTAAAATAGTCAATTTAGAGGCTCAGTCAGAACATTGTGGAATGTTTTGTTGTAGTCTAAGAGAGGTACACTGCTTTCCCAGAGCATTGTTTTTACAGGTCAGCAGTTCCTACACCAGTGCCTTCATTTCCAATTCTAGACTTTTTGTCTTGTATAAATTATTTGCCTTCTAATTGGAAATTTAAGAAAGCAATGCTTTCATCTGAAAATAAATCATGATATATGGAGTAATCTCATGACTTATAATTTAGAATAAAGAGAGCACTTTCATGGCTCAGGGGGTTTAATTCAGCGTCTCTGGTTTGGTTAACTGCTCTTCCTTCTATCTAATTATTTATAGTTTAAAACTTTGTACCTAAGTCCTTTTACTCCTTGTTATGCTGCTCCTGGCTCACTTACACACACTCACTCACTCCCGCTCTCTCTCTCTCTTACACACACACACACACACACACACACACACACACCCTAAGAATAGTAGATTTATATTAAAGAGGAATTATTGCTACTTATCTACTAGTATCCAGTTAGAGATTATAGATTTATTGTTGAGGTAATATAACTAGCAAAGTTTCCTCCTACATATCAGAAAAGCTGCAGTCAAATGTTTCTAAACCCAGGATTCATACTGTTTCCCCCTCTGACTGGTATAATTCATTCTACTTAGCCAATGTCACCATGATGAACTGTATTTTGACAGCTGATATATCATACATTAGAAGCAAATGTGAAAAAACCTTCCTAGGAACATTGAGGTTCTGGCTTTTGAGGGTCCATAATGAAAATACTTGTTTTCTCTCTACCAGTAGGATTTGTGATTCCTAGAATTCCAATATAGGGGTGTTAAATTTCTCATCAGGCATTGCTCCAGAAGAAATTTAACACTATCTATAGGTAAGATACCACTGATATGCTTCCCGTCAAATGTGTCTGAAATCAGGACCATCTGATTTTAAGAAAATATAGGAAATGTCATTGTCTTCTTCTGTACTTATAACTGTTAACTCCTCCCCATAAAGTTCAGAGAACATGCTCTGCAGCAAAGTCACTCAATGAGATCTCAATGGAGACTTTCTCCCTCCGAGTTTGGGTAAACATTACATTGCATACAAGTCTAAAAGCTATTTAGAGGTTTCCCAGAGGCTTTTCCAGGCTTGCTTTAGAAGAAAGATACATCTTGAATTCATCGACTCAGACCTTTCATGTAATTGCTGGCACGATTGTCCAAACTCAGATTACATAAATGCATTTATTTGAGTTTCCATTTCTATTTTTTACCAAACAACACCATGTCTAGTGATAACTGTATTAGCCAAGAGCAAAGAGCCAGATATCTCATTTATAACATGGCACTGAAATAGCAGTTGGCAATACTGAAATAAAAAAATGATAGTGATTATATTGTTGTTGTGTACCATAGAGTCAGGATCGACCCATAGCTGACCCTCCATTGGTTTTCAGAGGCAGTTAATCACATGGGAGAAGACTGCCCATCCTTCCCCAGCGGCACAGCTGGTGGCCTCAGAGCATGGTGCTTTAGGGATTGCAGCAGACCTTCTTGCCACTCAGCCAATTTTATTATTGAAGATACACACCCAAGACTCATGACTCTATGCCTCTAACACTTTAGTAATGATAACAAAGTTATTAAAGTTGCATACATGACAGGATGGCAATTCTTAATCAAAGAAACAAAACTAGAGACATTTTATAATGAAACAGTTTTATTGGCTTTTTGTGAAATAAAAAACACAGAACAAACCACCATGGTTAAAGGCCATAATCAGCATCAACCAAATGAACCAGCCACTTGGTCACAGCAGCTGATAACAACACTAATGGAGATTATTGCTTATTCCCCAGGTTCATTTATACGTCCATTGCGTTTTGGCAAGATTACGATCAAATGGGAGCTTTGGTTGTTACAAATTCAGCTATGACTACTCATTGAAAACTCTGCTTCTACCACTTTATGACAGGATATATGACAATGCTTCCTGAGTCTTGACATTTATCCTGTCATCCTGTCTTCTTTCCCTTTTCCTTAATGATTTACAACTCTATATACCAAAAGTTAAGGTAGATACACCGACAGCCATCTCTACTCTACTGCTCCCTTTTTATTGTGGGAGGGCGATACATTTCCAGGTATTTCTACATTCTCACAGCTGATGTGTTTCTACAGCTAGTAACAAAAATCCATCTGTAATCTACATAGATTTTTAAATGCATATGGTTGTCAAATTGGGGTTTGGACTCTACTGTCTCTTTTCCAACCTTCAAAAGCTGGGGGAAAATAGGAATAAAACTAAAATCAATAGCTTTTAGCATCAGCAAGTTGAGCTACCCACAAAATGAGCTCTAGCCACACAATACTCCACATCAGGCATGGAGCTGCGGCCTTAAATGCTTTTTGCGCCTCTCATAACATGTTACTCTACAGAGGAGCAATGGCTGACCTATCTCTCAAAACTTCTCTACTCAACTCTTTCTACTTTAACACTGAAAACTGGGAAAGACAAAGGATCAGAACTAACTCACAATTAGCACCATTTCCTCGGCTTGCAAGAAGAAACTCCTTTCTGCGTTAGAGAATGAAGGATTCTGGACCACCCAGCCTCTAGCTTTGAGCTTTCATAGGCCCTGCCAATCACTGGCGGGAGTGAGTGGGCCTGCCTTAGTCTACATCTGCAGCAATGTGAATTTTCCCTGGGAATTGTTAAAAATACGTGTCGTACAAAGTGAAGTTGGCCGCAGGTGAGAGACCTGAGGAAGCCTGTTTCTGGTGGTGAGATGCAACAAGCCCCAGGAAGGTGAGACAGAGCCCATGGTCCTTGTTCATCTCGATTCAAGTCAGTGGAGAATCTGCATGCAGAGCACGGCAAGATCAAAGAATACTGAAAGACATAAACCCTAACACCACCATCCAAACACCAATAATCTAATTACATCTTTTGTATTCAGGTCCACCAGTGAGTTTGCCCTGGATAATGCTGGGATTTAATAAGCCCTTCTAATGATTATAAAGTTTATTCTCTTGAATCTAGACGTGTTAAACAACAGGATATTCAATATCACTATATTTTACATGGCACATATAACCATATAATTACTAGCACTTACACAGCAAATATTGTAAATACACATTGCTTGGAGTTGACTTGGTAATTATACTGATGTTATTCAGCAGAATAAAGATGAAACACTCTCTTACTCGTAGTTTGGAGAATTTAACTCCAGCCCTTAACGTCACAACAAAGGGAGAACTCTCTAATTATCTAATGAAACCTCAGTGGCCATGTGGCCAAAACGTTTCAACTTTAATCCCAGGGCGACCTGGTTAATTTGTGGCCTGTAAAATAAAGTGATACACAGTATTTTCATTTCAACAAAATACAAGAGATCATATAAAAATATCTCCCAATTTGAAATTTGAGACATGAAAGCTGGATTATTTTCTCCTTTGTATAAAAAGAAAGGAAATAACGGACTAGAGCTTATTAAGCCTCCTCCCTCCCCCCAACACAATATATACATAAGTTTAAGGAATGCATTGAACACCAGCTTCCCTTTTTGTCCAGGCTCATGGATGGTGAGCTTGTGCTTTGATCCTAAAAAAGGTAAATGCACAAAAGTGGAGGAAGATCAGTGCCTGAAACCTGAACTATATCTTATCTCTAATAAGAAGACTAATTTTACAGTAGTGCTTTTAAAAGTGATGCATCAGATTATGGATTATTCCCCCCTCTTTCTCCTCAGGCGACTGCTGGCGATGAATTCCAGAAGCACCACTTGCGGCGAGAATGATGTTTATTTAGTGCAATAGCTTCTTTGTCACGCTCCCTTTTCAGACGCTGGTAGTGGTCTTCTTCCTTCAGGTACCACACTGGGGGCCAGCGGTGCCGCTCAAAGTATTCCTGGTTGTCTAAGGAAGGACAGACATGGATGAGGGTGAATAGTGCTCATTAATCACTTCTACGTGCTATGCTCTGTGCTTATTGCTTCTAATATACTATGATCTTAGTGTGGTCTCCCAGCTCTCTGATGTGGCAGGAACTATGAAAGGACGGTTTGCTAACTGACATACTAACATTTTAAGGGGTAGAATCAGTTGCTTAAGATGATGCAGTTTTTGTCCTTTTGTTACTCAGCAAATGCCAATCTGAAGTGAAGTGAATGGACCAGATATTATGTGTACTAAGATTAAAAATCTTCAACAGGAGACATGCATTATGGACTAAATGTGGGGTGAGGAGAGGAAGTAAATGTGCATGAATGAGTAAATGAAAAAGCAAATTATTTGTTTGCTTTCATTCAAATTCTAATTGAAAAAGAAATAAAGTGATGTAGTTAGCCATGGAGAATCTGAACTGCAGTCTCGTGATTCTAGAGTCTGTGTTTTCTCCTAACCTGGAGTAAAGGGTGAGCCAAAGACCACAAAATGCTTTGAAGTCGGGAACCTTGCACTCCAGCTCACCCTCAAACTCCAAGCATGAAGTTCTCCAAAGAGTATTTCTAATAGACAATCCTCATGTCACTTGAATACACAACCAGCTACCAACATCCTCAGCGCGCTGCCCTGCAGCTCCTGTTTCTTCTCTAGGGCGCAGAATGAGGGCCCTTCAGCCAGCGCTGAAGACAGTCAGTGTGCTAAAAGGAGGCGGCACATCTCTCACCTGAAGATTTAGATTTGATTTCCTTGCGGAACTTGGAACAAACACTGTTGTAGTTGGTGCAGATGTGGTGCAGACACCAGGCGGCCAGCTGGTTGGCATTGTGGAACTGCAGAGGAGTGAGCGAGAGAGGATCAGACTCTTTTTCTAAAGAGGAGGGGCTACAAAGGCACAGGAAGCCACTGGAGGCGTAAAAAGGAAAGCAAAGGCCTGTATATTGTGTACAAGCCTTTTGCTTTGACAATGTTTTTCACTTTGGCATGGCTACTGGTACCACCCGGTAGAGTGTATGGCATGCCTCTCCTTTAGCCCTCGATAGGTGCACCCAAAATAATCACTGTATCAGAGCAGGAGCCTCGCCTCCCCCGTCTCCCTCCCACATCCTGGTCCTCAGCGATAAGTGAATGTGGCCTTTGGAAGGCACCAACCAACAGCAGGAAGCAGCAATGTCATCTCTGTTTAAGGAAGCTTTGGAAACAGAATACTACGTGTCACATGTCAGAGCTTAGCTGTGGAGGCCAAAGAGCCCAAAGAGGAGACTGGAGTATGTGACTGTCCTGTACCTGTCCTTTTGGTTACATAAGAACAGGCTGTGTGGGCAGGGTAGGAGGGATTCCAACACTCGTATGCTTCCTTTCTGGGCAGACAGACACTTAAGGAGGTGGCAGCTGAGGTAGCTGGACTGAAAAAGACCTCATGCTCAAAAACTGACAAAAATCCCCCAAAATCTCATTGCCACCAAGTTGGACCTCTCCTGAAACCTACCTCCTCTTCCTTAATTGAGAAACACAAGTTTGAAATGGCTGACCTAACTAAGAACTTCCTAAAATACTACACGGACAGGGAACGAAGGAAAAATAAAAATATCCAATAACCTGAAGACTGAAGAATTTGCTCTTAATTCCCCAATAATGTAAACTGTTCTCTATGTCAGAGGCTAACGGATCTTCTATACGCTTCCTGCATTATGACTCTTCAGTGCTCCTTTCTGAACTTACATGCAGTTCAAATGCACCAGCTGTTCTGCGGAAGAAGGATGGACAATCTCCTTCCCTGCAATTTACTGCCTCTAAAAACCTGCTGGAGGATCAGCTATGGGTTGGTTCCAACCGGACAGCTAACAACAGCAACAACTCTCTAGCTTGGTTTCAAAACAACCTGTGAAATTGCTAGGGTGTGAATGGCCATCCCATCTCTTACGGGAGGCAGGGTTTAGCTTTGTCCCTGGAGAAGGTTATTGAATACCGAAGAGGAAAATGGGCTTCCATTCCCTTTGGAAAAAGGAGGTGGGTGTGTGCACTGCAATCATAGAATGACAGTATTGATTTGAATAAGTACTGATTTTAGGGGAAAAAATGCAAGAAAGCATCAATGAGATATGTGCACACTGCAAGCCGTTGTGGACTTCTAGAAATTGTCTGGCCTTTGTCAATGCTCCTCCAAGAATTCATGAAGAAATTCAAAGATGAAAGAGATAGAAAAGTTTCCCCTAACAAGCCCCAAGCGGTTCTCCTTGTGAAACTGATTCCTGGGGGGACAATGGGGCTGGTGTGGGGGTGGGGTCCCTGTTGTTTTTTCAGACAAAGCCCAGCAGGGTGAATGGTGCATGAAATGTAAAACTCTCAGATCTCCTCCGTGTACACAGGGGGCCTCTGTGACTCAATGGTGACATCTTTATTTAGACAGATGCAACAGAAGAATGTTTTATCAGCCTTCATTCAACTGGCTGGAAACATTTAAAAGGTGAAAAGCACATTGCTACAAACCTGGGCCAGTTCCAAATAGGAGAGCACTTCTCCATCAATGCTCATGCCACTCACAGCGGCCTTGGTTAGCTCCTGCACAGCGTGCTGTTCTGAGGAAAACAGAGAAGCAGGACACTGTTAAACAGGACCCACAAGTCAGGCAGGCGCTTTTGCTTGGAGGGTCTCATTTGGGACCATCTAAGAGGAACTTAAAAATTCTAGTCTTAAGGGAACTCTGGTGGCCTAGTGAAAAGAGGATGTACTGCAATCCTGAAGGCACGTGGTTCGAGGCCACCAGATGCTTCACAGGAGAAGCTCCTCTTGTGTGATTAACTGCCTATGAACACTTGCCAGAGGGTCAGCTATGAAGTCAGTTCGGACTCAACAGTACACAACAATAAAAATGCAAAATTATGGGTTTCAACTCCACCAGCAGCTTTGCAGGAGAATGATCAGCAATCCCTTTCCATGGAAAAACCCACTGGAGGGTCAGTTATGGATTGGTTTCTCCTTGATGGTACTTAACAACAATAGCACTATTCTGAAAATAGCCCTGTTTTTTAGACTTGCACTCTCTAGTATGCTAACTATGACCCATGTGTAGCTATTTAAAAGGAAAGATTCAGTTCCTCAGTTAGACTAGCCGTATTCCAGGTGCTGGACAGCTTTATGGGGCTACTCTATTAGCACAGACACAGAACGTGTCCATCATTGCGGAAAGTTCTATCAGGCAGTGCTACCCAGTACGTTCTAGCACCTTGCTGTCTGACAGTTTTCCACTCACACCCACCCAACCTTCAACAATCCTTGGCTGTGGAGAAGGTGAGTAATACTGTAATGAGTCTATTTAGAAAAGTGAATGTAAACATCCGACTCAACAGCAGTTGATGGATAACATAACATTCATCCATCAGGGAGACTTTCAGCCAAAGTAACAAAAGTCCATTTGAGCTCTTTCTCCTTGGGAACTTGAATTCAAGGTTTCCAAAGTGAATTTTAATTCTGAGGCTGAGCTATCTCCTGTCTTCATGTGAGTTGTCATCTCCTTCTGAGATTGACCGGTGTGGGTGCTGTCTTGATCCAGAATTTCTAGGTCCTTAATGTGAGTGTATTTTTACTGTTCAGGAAAACACCTATTTCTTGATTTGGCTCTATATGCTTGTTAATCTGTCTATCTGGTCTATATACTATCTATCTATGTGGATTTGGAAAATTCTTCAGGTGCAATGATACATTGACATTAAGAGCCTTTTGGAATTAAGTTACACAGAAGTTGATTGATTGGGTTCTTTATTTTTAAGTAACTGCAGCCTTTATTTTCCTTTCCCCCTCTGTTTCTCTTTTCACTTCCTCGAATCTTATTTATCTTTGCCATATACTGTAGGGTTGTTTTTTAAATTTTTAAAAATTTTTTATTTTATTATTTTTGTGTGAGTGTACTGTCAAATCTGATCTGACTGGTACAGGAGGAGATTGTCCCTCCTTACCCAGCAGAGCATCTGGTGGATTCGAACCGTACGCCTCTGGGATTGCAGTTGTAGCTCCTTGCCACTAGGCCACCAGAGCTCCCCTTATACTGTGGTTTTTTCATGGGTTTTTTTGAACATTTTATTGGTGCATCTGGTGAATGTTTATATAACAATTTGGTTTTCCAATCAGTAATTCATAAACAAATTGTTCTGGGATATTGGATGCAATTCTCCAAAGCTTCAGCCTTCTCTTCACATCCTCACTAGGCTCCCAGTTTCCATGTGTTCACCTTCCCTATTCTTCTCATTATTGGTTTTGGGCAAATAATGCCCTTTTGGTCTCAAAGGGTCACATCTTTTATGGGTGCTATTCTTCTTATTTCATAAAGCTATTATTTGGCTGAGCGTGTCTTTAGCTTCAAGTTAAAAGCTTGTTTTAGAGGCTTTGTCTTAGGACTTCTTCCAGTCTCTTTCAAACAAGTGAGTCTGGACTACTTACATTTCAATTTTCTTCTAAAGTTTTCCTTATTCTTACTGAGGTCTTTTACTGCATCCTTGTCAGAATGGCAGGCAGGGCTCTGTGGGCACCATCTAGTTCTCCTGGTCTCAAGTTAGAAAAGGCTGTGGGTCATGTGGGCTATTAGTTTTGTCTTTGCACCAGGTGCAAAGAGTCAAAGCACTGATTCCTGGAGTTCCTGAGTCAAATGCTGTTTACGGTGACTTCAAGTGCACATGAAAGGTGATCAAGGAAAACAAAAGAGCTAACTGATGTTATGTGTTTGAATTGTGGTGTTAAGAGGATTGAATAGGCTGTGGATTGCCAAAAGGACAAACAAACCTAGAAGAAGTGTAGCCAGACCGCTCCTCAGAAACAATGACTGGAGGTGTCAGTCAGTCTTTGCAAAAGGACATCAAGCTTGGAAATGAGGAAGATCAGTAAAAGAGAAGAAGGCTCTCAATGAGATGGATTGCCACAGTAACTACGACAGCAGGATTAGGCATAGCTAAGACTGTGTGGATGGTGTGGAATTTGGCAAAGCTTTGCTCTGTGTACATACGGTTGCTGGGAGTGGAAGCTGCCTTGATGGTACTGAAGAGCAACAAAATTGGCTGATGACAGTGACAACTGGCTGTTGGCAATGAAAACCTTTTCAATTCTTTTCTCAGCCACATGACTGTCTTCAGTGAAATGTCTGTTCATGTACTTTCTCATTCTTTAATTGTGTTGCCTTTTTTTCTTTTCTGTTGAAGTCTTCCATATACTTAACAGATCAGATAGTCCCAGATATGCTATTGCCACAACTTAATCCCATGTATGTGGTTTTCTTTTTACTCTTTTGGTGAAGTCCTTTGAGGAGCATATGTATGTAAATAGGAGGTCTCGATTAGGTTCTATTGTCCCATTTGTGCATTTTTAATTATGTTTGATAGTCTACATGTTTGATATTATAGAGTAGGCCCCTAGGATTTTCCCTATGTTTTCTTTCATGAATTTCATAGTTTTACATTTTACATTTAGATTAGTTTCTGTGTATAGTGTAAGATATGGATCTTGTTTTGGTTTTCTGCAAATAGATATTCAGTTCTGCCTGTATCATTTATTAAGAAGACTATTTCTTTCCCATTGAATGGACTTCTCCTTTTGTTGATGTCCAGCTGTCCACAGGAAGAGGGATTTGCTTTTGGATTTTCAATTCTGTTCCATTGGCTTGTGTATCTGTTATGGTACCAGGACCAAATTGTTCTAACTACCATCCTATGTAGTAGCTTCTGGAATCTGAAAGTATGAGGCCTCCTACATTACGTCATTCTTCGATATTCACTTAACACTTTAATTTACAGAGAATTTTTATCCCAGAAACTGATATTAAACACTATGAGGCTCAAGGTGGGGGGAACCTAGAGATAGGCTTTCATAAAAATTACAGGTTTTAAAAAAATTACAGGTTAGAAAATACCATAAGACAGTTCTACTCTATCACATGAAGCTGTTATTAATTGAAAAATGACCCTATGGTATTTAACAACAACAATGTTCTAAATATATCAAACACGATACAGGGGTAACTCATGGCTGCTGTGATGCTGAACACTGTGACATTGATGTGTCAAATGCGATAATGGTTACCCATGGTAGACAGTGTTTGGTGGAGCTCCCTGATTAAAACAAGCTTGGAAGCAGGAATGTCATCCACTTCTGAAATAGATTGCCTCCGGAAACCCTATAAAACTGGAGTGAGGATGAAAGTTATACAAGTGTCCAGGTCTTTTGTTCATAGGGTCACTATGAATCAATTGCCTACGACTTGATACATAACTCAGGAAATCATCTAGGGATCCTATAAGTTAAATACTTTTAGCAATATTTATACCAATTAATAACACTATTTAAAATATACAGAGCTTTGAAGTTTACACACAAAATATCTTTTGCACTGTTGTTATGTGCTGTCGAGTTGCTTGCGACTCATAGTGACCCTATGTACATACAATAGCCCCCAAACCTGCTCTAGCCTGTGCCAACTTTCTCTGACACATCTACTCTCATCACCCCAGTCACTGAATCAATCCATCTCACCGAGGGTCTTCTTCTCTTGCACTGCCCCTCCACCCTCCTAAGCATGATATCCCTCTCCACGGATTGTTCCCTCCTTGAAACATGCTCAAAGTATGTCAGACAAAGCCTCAGAATCCTTGCCTCCAACAAGCAGCTTGGTTTCACACTCTCCACGATGAATCTGGTTCCATAGTGTTAGTTCATTAAAAATAATTTTCATGGGTAAAATAAGTCATATTTTTATAGTTACATTTAAGTGAAAAAGACACAATTTAGAGACTAACCACAACCTTGATTCATACACTTAAAAAAAATCAGAGGGAACAACAAATACATGAAACAAAAAATTGTTCTAATGAGGCAAGTCAAATGAATTACAATTCAGGCTTTAAGTAAAAAAATTTCCCACTGTGACTTCTTGGCACTAGTATTACAAAAGTAGCAGATTTATGCAGATCTATAGCTTTTGGAGTATTAGAAAGGACGAAAGTTATACCGGTGTCCAGGTCTTACATTCATAGGGTCGCTATGAGTTGCCTCTGACTTGACGACACTTAACAACAGCAACAACAACAACGACAGCATAGAGAGAATTGGCCTCGTGGATCGAAATCATGCTCCCAAGCCAAAGGTGGTGACTCTAATCTGCAGCCCCCAGGTCCGCCTTTGCTTGCTTTTGGTGAAACATTCTTCTAGGTTGTGTAACCCTGGTATGTCCACTTGCTGTATAGAGGTAACTTGTGGTTGCTGTGAAGCTGAACACTGTGATACTGATGTGTCAAATGTGAGAACGGTTACTCATGGTGGACAGTGTTTGGTGGAGTTTTCGATTAAAACAAGCTTGGAAGCAGGAGTGGCATCCACTTCCGTAACAGTTTGCCTCTGGAAACCTTACGAACCTGGAGAAAGGACAAAAGTTATACAGGTGTCCAGGACTTTCATTCATAGGGTCGCTAGGAGTCTCCTCCAACTTGATGGCACTTAACAACAACAACAACAAAGCAAATTCTCAAGTAATTCTTTCTACCCAGTTGCAGAAGTAGGAGAGGTAAATCTGGAGTCCAGAGAAACATTTTTTTGGTAGAGACACTAAAACGAAGTCAAGAATCAATGTGGTTGGCTGGTTTGTTCATTCATTAATTATGTCATCAATTCAGTGATTAAACAATATTCATTGAGATTTAATATTCACAGGTACTTTTTTGTGCAATCTAAATCCAGTAACCAGGACAATGTCTTTGTCCTCATGGCTAACCAAATGTAACAACAAAACCCCAGATTGCTAACTGACACTGCTGTGAATGAAATGGAATATTTAAATGAAAGAGAAAGTTATTTTAATGCACATATCCTTTACAGACCTGCTTACTGACTGAACAAGTCTAGTCTTTGGCTTAGCCATGATTCCTTTTTTTCCTTTTCCCAAAAATGAATTTAACAATGTCAGAGCAGTTTCTAAAATAGCTTTAAGAAAACCACTTACATAATGCTTTCTACATGCCAGACAGCATTCTAAGGACTTTATCCATTTAAACTCCTTCAATATTCATAACAAGTCTATGTTAAGTAATACTGTTAGCCTTTCAAGATAGAAAACTGAAACAGAGACGGTTGTTGTTTTTTGTTGTATACCATTGAGTCAGAACGGTACGCAACAACAACAATCATTGGGTCTGAACCAACTCATAGCTGACCCTCCCACAGGTTTTCAGAGGCATTTAATTGCATGGGAGAAGACTGCCCATCCTTCTCCCATGGAGCAGCTGATGGCCTCGAGCCACATGCCTTAGGGATTATAGGTCAGCTTCTTGCCACTAGGCCACCAGTGCTCCTGAAACATAGACTAGTTAAACAAATTATAGAATCACCCAGCTGGGAAAATGTGGAGAAAAGATTTAAATCCCAGTTTAGAAGCAAGATTGGCACCCACTTCCTAAACAATATGCCTTTGGAAACTCTACGAATATTAGAGAAACGATGATGGTTAGAGAACAGGGTTCAGACCTTTTGTTCATAGGGTCGCTATGAGTTGTGTTCGACTCAACGGCACTTAACAACAATAACAGTCTGGCTTAGCAGTCTTGCGTTTAACCACTGCGTTCTAGGGTTTCTCCTTGAAGAATACCTCTGGTCATATATCATATAGGTGATTTTGACAGAATAGTTTTATTTCAATTTCCTAGCCCACGTATAATTTGCATTCACATTGTGTCCCCTCAGTGCTCATGTCCATTATTTTATTTCCATCACCTACTAGGTTTGACCACAAAAGTAAGTACTTAAGAAACATGTTTTGGATTGATACATTTCATATGTCCATATTGAGTAATACAATCCTATTGTGGGTAAAAAGGAAAAGAAAGGCTTTTGTTTGTTTGAATCTTTGGAAATTTTACTTTTGTGTAAATATAACTTTGATAAATGTGACAGGCAGACACTGCATGGCCCCGAGGCATGAAGCTTACCTGCAAGTGCAACCAAGTGTGGCAGGCACAGTCTGTTTGCCAAGGCGATTAACTCCAGCGGGTCCAAGTCCAAGTTGGGCGACAACTGCTTAGTATACAAGTAATCCAAAACCGCTTGCATTGACATCTTGTTTATGCTCGGAAGGTAGACCTGCAATGGTATTTGCAAAGCTAAGCTTAAGTTCTGCTGAAGAAAGTCAAGAATGGGCATGTTGCAGCTCTGTTTTTTAGAAATAGTCCAACTCTGTTATTTTATATTGGTGAGCTTCTGCCACCTGTCCTGAGGCTGAGAAGTCACTGGGTAATTACAGGTTTCGGTTTGTTTGGTTTTATTTATTT